CCTAGAAAATCCCGAGCCCATATGACAACAGGAAAATGCAAACTCCCTTCCTGTAAGCTTTTTCACCCTGAAATGTGTACCTCTTCAGTACAGGAAAGACTGTGCTATAACTTAAATTGCCAGACACACCATCTAAAGGGGACAAAAAGATACAAAACATCCAGGCCATGGGAAAACCTGGGTAGCCACAGCCACTCAAGAGGGAGAGGTTTTTTAGTGCCAGGAAGGAAAAAAAACTGGCAGGAATTGGCAGAAATCGTACACCAAATCCAGTCATTCCTGGAGTGGAGCCACAGTCGATGGCCTCCACTCCAAACCAACAAATACAGATACTAATGCCGGAACCCCCCCCCCCCCAGTACCAACAATACCACCAGTCCGATGACATTCTTCTTTGCAAATATACAGGGTCTAAAGCCAGCAACAAACAACAAAATACCTTTCATCCGTGGACTGCTTGCAGAGGCAAAGGCAATGTTCGCGGCTTTCACTGAGACCCACATAAAGGATCACTTGGACAACGAAATATGGATCCCAGGTTACAACCTATACAGATGTGACAGAGTGAACAGGCAAAAAGGGGGGGGGGGGGTTGGCCTGTACATTGCAGAGTCACTTGTTTGCACAGAACTGCTTAATGCCTCAAATGATGTAGTGGAAGTTTTAGCAGTAAAGGTCGAGAACCAAAACCTAGTCATTGTGGTAGTCTACAAGCCTCCGGATGCAACATCCCAGCAATTCCAGGAACAGGTGTTAAAAATTGACCACTGTCTGGAAAATCTTCCAGCTCCTGCACCCAACATCTTGCTCCTGGGGGATTTCAACTTAAGGCACCTAAAATGGAGGAATATAGCAAATAATGTTGTTGCAGTAATAACACCAGGAGGCAGCTCTGATGAAAACTCACACTCGCACGAGCTTTTAAATCTCTGCACAAAATTCAATTTAAACCAGCAAATAATGGAGCCTACTAGACTGGAGAATACACTAGACCTCATCTTCACTAATAATGATGATCTGATAAGAAATGTCACCATATCAAAAACAATATACTCAGATCACAACATAATTGAGGTTCAGACATGTATGCGTGGAGCCCCAGACCGACATAATGAGATTAGTCACGAGGGAACATTCACCAAATTCAACTTCAATAACAAAAACATAAAGTGGGACCAAGTAAACCAAGTCCTAACCGATATAAGCTGGGAAGATATACTAAGCAACACAGACCCCAACTTATGCCTAGAACAGATTAACTCGGTGGCACTCGATGTATGCACAAGGCTTATTCCTCTAAGAAAAAGGAGTAGATGTAAAATAGAAAGAGACAGGCGCTCCCTTTGCAGGCGACGGAAAAGAATAACAGAGCGGCTAAAAGAGGTCAATATATCTGAAATGCGTAGGGAGACACTGGTCAGAGAAATAGCAAGCATCGAACTTAAGCTAAAGGAATCTTATAGGTGTCAGGAATCGCGGGAAGAACTAAAAGCCATAAATGAAATCGAAAGAAACCCAAAGTATTTCTTCTCCTATGCCAAATCAAAGTCGAGAACAACGTCCAGTATTGGGCCCCTACTTAAACAAGATGGGTCCTACACAGATGACAGCAAGGAAATGAGTGAGCTACTCAAGTCCCAATATGACTCAGTTTTTAGCAAGCCGCTAACCAGACTGAGAGTCGAAGATCAAAATGAAATTTTTATGAGAGAGCCACAGAATTTGGTTAACACAAGCCTATCCGATGTTATCCTGACGCCAAATGACTTCGAACAGGCGATAAATGACATGCCCATGCACTCTACCCCAGGGCCAGACTCATGGAACTCCGTGTTCATCAAGAACTGCAAGAAGCCCCTATCACGAGCCTTTTCCATCCTATGGAGAGGGAGCATGGACACGGGGGTCGTCCCACAGTTACTAAAAACAACAGACATAGCCCCACTCCACAAAGGGGGCAGTAAAGCAACAGCAAAGAACTACAGACCGATAGCACTAACATCCCATATCATAAAAATCTTTGAAAGGGTCCTAAGAAGCAAGATCACCACCCATCTAGAAACCCATCAGTTACACAACCCAGGGCAACATGGGTTTAGAACAGATCGCTCCTGTCTGTCTCAACTATTGGATCACTATGACAAGGTCCTAGATGCACTAGAAGACAAAAAGAATGCAGATGTAATATATACAGACTTTGCAAAAGCCTTCGACAAGTGTGACCATGGCGTAATAGCGCACAAAATGCGTGCTAAAGGAATTACAGGAAAAGTCGGTCGATGGATCTATAATTTCCTCACTAACAGAACACAGAGAGTAGTCGTCAACAGAGTCAAGTCCGAGGCAGCTACGGTGAAAAGCTCTGTTCCACAAGGCACAGTACTCGCTCCCATCTTGTTCCTCATCCTCATATCCGACATAGACAAGGATGTCAGCCACAGCACCGTGTCTTCCTTTGCAGATGACACCCGAATCTGCATGACAGTGTCTTCCATTGCAGACACTGCAAGGCTCCAGGCGGACATCAACCAAATCTTTCAGTGGGCTGCAGAAAACAATATGAAGTTCAAGGATGAGAAGTTTCAATTACTCAGATATAGTAAACACGAGGAAATTAAATCTTCAGAGTACAAAACAAATTCTGGCCACAAAATAGAGCGAAACACCAACGTCAAAGACCTGGGAGTGATCATGTCAAAGGATCTCACCTTCAAGGACCATAACATTGTATCAATCGCATCTGCTAGAAAAATGACAGGATGGATTATGAGAACCTTCAAAACTAGGGAGGCCAAGCCCATGATGACACTCTTCAGGTCACTTGTTCTATCTAGGCTGGAATATTGCTGCACACTAACAGCACCTTTCAAGGCAGGTGAAATTGCTGACCTAGAAAATGTACAGAGAACCTTCACGGCGCGCATAACGGAGATAAAACACCTCAATTACTGGGAGCGCTTGAGGTTCCTAAACCTGTATTCCCTGGAACGCAGGCGGGAGAGATACATGATTATATACACCTGGAATATCCTAGAGGGACTAGTACCGAACTTGCACACGAAAATCACTCACTACGAAAGCAAAAGACTTGGCAGACTATGCAATATCCCCCCAATGAAAAGCAGGGGTGTCACTAGCACGTTAAGAGACCATACAATAAGTGTCAGGGGCCCGAGACTGTTCAACTGCCTCCCAGCATACATAAGGGGGATTACCAACAGACCCCTGGCAGTCTTCAAGCTGGCACTGGACAAGCACCTAAAGTCGGTTCCTGACCAGCCGGGCTGTGGCTCGTACGTTGGTTTGCGTGCAGCCAGCAGTAACAGCCTGGTTGATCAGGCTCTGATCCACCAGGAGGCCTGGTCACAGACCGGGCCGCGGGGGCGTTGACCCCCGGAACTCTCTCCAGGTAAACTCCAGTCCCTTGCTTCCCTTCTGTCCTCTCCTTCCAACTCCTCAAACCTCCACTGTCTTTTCGTGAGCAGTATAACTCCTCCACGCGCTCTTTCCTCAGGATCTAATATCCAGTTGGAAAGAAGGCATCTGTTATCATTCCTGTGAACTTGGTTTCCATGAGTGCTATGATGTTTGGTGATGCCTCTGTGATTTGTTCATACCACTCCTCATACTTATTTATTATTCCATATGCATTGGTGTACCATACTTTCAAGTTCTTTTCCACCACTGTATTCTGGGAAGTTTGTTGGGGCTGGGGGAGTAGGAGACCTGGCAGGGTGTTATGGGAGTCTACTGTGTAAAGTGGGGTGGGGTCTGTGAGTGTGGAGTGTGGTTTGGTTTGGGATAATATGTTTGGTTGTGGGGTTCTGTGGGTTTACCTGGAGTTTACCTGCAGAGGGTTTCGGGGGTCAATGCCTCTGCGGCCTGGTCTGAGACCAGGCCTCATGGTGGATCAGGGTCTGATCAACCAGGCTGTTACTGCTGGCCGCACGCAAGCTGATGTACGAACCACAGCTCGGTTGGTCAGGTACTGACTTTAGGTGTCTGAAGACAGCCAGGGGTCTATTGGTAATCCCCCTTATGTATGCTGGGCCCCGACACTTATTGTGTTGTCTCTCAATGTACTCGTGGCGCCCCTGCTTTTCATTGGGATAATGTTGCATCTGCCGAGTCTTTTGCTTTCATAGGGAGTGATTTTCGTGTGCAGGTTTGGTGCTAATCCCTCCAGGACCTTCCAAGTGTATATTATCATGTATCTCTCTTGCCTACGTTCGAGGAAATACAGATCAAGGACCTTCAACCGTTCCCAGTAGTTTAGGTGCCTTATCGTACTTATGTGGCTGCACTTGCCGCTCCTCCCAACTCTGGTTGTCCACTCCTGACTCTAGCCTTGTCTCTCTTGCCCCTTTCGTCTTTGTATCCTTTTTCTCAGGTTCTGTGATTCTCTTCTAGTTCCGTTGCGATCTAGGTACACCCACTGATACTTTGCTGTTTCCTTTATCTGTGGTTTTTGCTGTAGGCTCCTGTTCTGCACCGTTTCTGTCTTGAAAATTAATATGACTGGCTGATTTCTTCCCCTCGAGTATCCCCCTGTTCTCTGAAAATTTATCAGCTCAGTCATGTCTTCCTCTCCTGTTTGTTTGATGATACTTTCAATCTCTTTTTTTCTCTTCCGATAGTCCTTCATATGTCCCTTCGATTTCCTTAAGCCCATGAATAAAAACTGACCTCTCCCTCTCCTCCCATTGCTTTTTCCCTCCACATCTCTAGGTCCCATTTAAGCATAGCCATTGCTACTTCCCTTATCATTTCCTGGATCTCCCTATGGCCTGTTCATATGTGTGTATTTACGTAATTGTGGTTGCAGGGGTCGAATCATAGCTCCTGGCCCCGTGTGTGTAATTAATCTGAATACTACAGTTTATCTTTTACAGGAGAGGTGATATAGGTAATAAAGTATTTTGCATTAGTGTAGAGGTATAAACTGTTCAAATCTTCCTCAAAGTATTAGGAGTTAATTTACAAAACAATCATTCCTAAGTCAGTATTTATTTAGGCTACATATTGCACATAATTTGTAACTTTTATAATGGTTTTATATCGTAAATTGTGCAGAAATGAAGCTAAGTTAAGCCAATAAAGTCAAACACTGATTTATATCCACTGGGATCCTTTAAAAAAACATTACCAGGAAATATTAATTATTGAGACAAAATTTATACAGTGTTTGATTAATACTGAACGAAAAGCTAAGAATTTACTGCAGTACAGTATACATTAAGAAAAACTGCAAACATCAATAAAAGAACATTCAAAAATTAAACGAAAGAAACAGTTATGAGTTTGGATGATTCCTCTCCAGTACTTGGCCAAATACATAACTCTGGACTCAAATCTACTTTGTTAGTGAATGGTGAAGGAAGCTACTACAATAATGAAAACTACAGGACAGTACTTGAAAGAATAGCAAAAGCCGAAGTCTTTTATATTACCAGAGGCATTATGAACATAGCTTTTAAAGGCAAGTAGACAAAATTTCTTACTTCGTAGAGCTTTGACAGTTGTTTTACACAGTGTTAGCTCCAGCTTGTGAATTAAGGTCCTTCTTGTGAGCATGCTGAGTGGAAACTGAACCATCTTGAGGATTGAGAACCAGCTGGTGGCGAGACTTGGTCTTGCACCGAGGTCGTGACCTGGAGCGGCGAGATCTTGCCGAGGATGACCTCGGGCTGCTCATGTTAGTGCCAAGAAGGATGATGATAATTGCTGCATAGAACACAACAATCACCTGAAGGGGAGCATAAAATCAGCAATATTGGTCATCACCTTTCTAAAGCTGGATCAACTTTATGTGCTGGAGATGAGCCCAACTTTTTTTTTTTTTACTTAGGTGGTGAGAATAATTCTACATTAGTTAAAATCTGTTTCATAACCCCAGTGGTCGAGTGCTTTGTAAAGAATAAAAATCAGTTACTAAAATTTAGATTGCCAAATAGATCTTTTATAACATATTGAAGATAAATACTGTACACCATACATACATAAAACTTACTGAATCTTTGAACGAAAATGTCTTACTGCAAAAGGTATATATATAAAAGTAGGCAGTTTAGCAAAAAAATGATGTGCAATTGGAAATATGTTAAGGTGCAAATAAGATCAAACTCAGTAGTGGCGTGATCTTCAGACGACTAAATATATTTAAATCAAACGAGTCACTGGACCGTGATGAGCTTTTTCAAAGAACTTAGCATACTATTAGATAGTCTCTTGAACAGATCATAACAGAAGTGTACTGTACTGGTAAAGTGAAAATGCCAAATGTGATACCCATTTACAAAGCAGGAGGTAAAGGTTTCTTTTCAAACAGATCAGCGTAATGTCAACTGTGAGAAAATTAAAGGAGTCATTAACTGCTGATGCAGTTCAGAGCCACCTTGAAAGATATAATTTATTCAGTGAATCTCAGCATGGTTTTACAAAGGGGATTCTTACCTTACGAATTAACTAAGTATTTTGTCTCTTAGGTATTAGAGGCAGACAATGATAAGAATGCGATAAAGTGTACATAAACTTCAATAAGACTTCTGATGGTTCCACAGAGGAAACTGATGAAGAAAGTAGCAGGATGTGAGATAGGAGAAATTATCTCGGGTCGAGGAATGATTGACTGAAAGGCAACATTGCATGAATGAGGAGAAATCAGAGTTTTACAAGTGGTGTTCCACAGAGGTCAGTAGTGGGACCCTTGCTGTTCACAATATACATTAACGACATTAGATGAGAGAATAAATAGAGATATAAGCAAGTTTGTCAATAACATTAAATAGGCCGTCAAATAATTTTTTATAAGGACGCTAGAAAGCTACAAGATGACCTGGAAAGGTTGGTTTTGTGGTCAGAGATGTGACAGATGCTGTTCAGTTCAGACTAATGGAAGCTTCTAATTCAAGGAAAAGATGCTAATTATAGCATTAAAACTAAATACTAAAATAAATCTTAATCAAACCAAATGCAAAAAAAAGAAAAAAAAAAAGATTTAAGAGTTCTGGTTAGCAGTAATTGGCAGCCAAGACAACAGGGCAGAAATGTTTGCAATAAAGCTAATAGGATTTTTAGCTTCGTATGAAGAAGTATTAATAATAGATATCCTCAGGTTATATGTACTTCGACTTTATGTTCTGGTCTCCATATTACAGGACTGATATAAATGCACTGGAAAACAGAGAATTAAGTTTATTCCCTGTACTAGAAATCTATCCTATGAAAGGTTTCTAATGCAGTGCACTGAATTTTCACTCTCCGGAGAGGCGTAGAATTAGGAGAGATATGACAAGTGCATAAATGGAAAACGAATAAAGGCAATATAAATAGTGTCAAAAATATTTAGCCAAGACAGGACTCGCAATAATGAATTCAAGTTGGAGAGATTTAAATTTGGAAAAGACAGAGGAGATTCAGAAAGGATAAAGGAGATTGAGATTTAGGAAGGGTATAGGAGATTTAGATTTATAAAGGATAAAGGAAATTTAGATTTAGGAAGAATATGGATTTATATTTAGAAAGGATATAGGAAATTTCTGGTTTGGTAGTAACATGGGCCTAGCCTAACATGGGCTAATACCGACAAGTGGATTAAGACATGTGCAGCAGTTGGGTATCTCTACTGTGAACATATTTAGCCCACAAAGCAGCCTACTGCATGGGCAAAAATGTTTCAGTAATTAAGTAAAGAGACCCAACTGTTGCATATGTCTTACTGACCTACCTACCTTCCCTGCCTTCACTCACCGCTACGAAGATAGTGGCCTGAGCCGAGACTTCCGAGGGTGAGGGCAGGCTGCCTGCACCATGTTGGTGACCTGCACCACTCTGCTGGTGGCCTGCACTGCTCCCTGTTGCTCCTGCACGCAGGCTACCTGCCAGTACACAGCCCAACCTGTAAATTAAGGATAGGTTAGCCTGTAATAAGATTATTCGAAGGAACTCTTCTTTATATATATATATATATATATATATATATATGTCGTGCCGAATATGTAAAACTGGTCAATTAGCAAGAACTCATTTAAAATTAAGTCCTTCCTAAAATTTTCTCTTATACGTTTAAGGATATATTTTTTTCATTAATGTTGATGTAAAAATGTATAATTTTGCACCAAAAGGAACTTAGAAAACTTACCTAACCTTATTATAACAAGAACAATTTATTTTAGCCTAACCCAACTAAATATATTTTAGATTTGTTTACAATAATTTAATACTAAGCAAACACAGTGAAATATATTTTTTTCCTTAGGTTCAGAATGATTTTGGCGAAATTATTGCATACACAAATTTTCACTTGTCCTATATGGCAAGATGAGCGTTGCTATTTAAGCCAAGATCGCAAGTTCTGCCTATTCGGCACGACATATATGTATATACATTATATATATATAATATATATATATATATATATATATATATATATATATATATATATATATATATATATATATATATATATATATATATATATATATATATTACCCAGGTAATCAAGGCCTGTATCCTGGGTGTAAAAAGGGAGCTTGGAGTAAAATAAACACAGCAGAACACTTTGAATTATATTAGCCTTCACCAAGTATAAACAGAAGTATGTATACTATATACACTATGTACAGCAAATAGGTATTAGTGCACACCACGGTAGTCAAGGCAGAACAGCAGCCAAGAGACAATAGACAACTATGCTTCAACCAGCAGCAGAATGAAAATGACAAGGGTGAAAACGTGAGTGGTAACCACGTCACCTTCACAATTGCCAGATCCACATTATGATTGTCTGAACCTAGGTACTGACCTGACGATGGGGCCCCGAGCGTCAGACCCTTAGTGCCTGGTTCACTGGTTGGGGAGATAGCCTATGTGAGAATGTGGACATGCTTAAAATAAAGGTTACATACTCTTTGCATGCCACATATATATCAATTCAGTACAGATGTTAACTGAAGGTGTTGGAATTGGAGACAGTGGAAGGAGAGGTACTCAGTCCTTGAGCCTTGGTGAAGGTATTCACCACCTTAGTCTCGATGAATTAGTCCACTATTACTGGTAGTAAGGCAAAGAATAAAGGTGTTTATAATTAAGTAAATCGTCGACAAATCTTCACGAACTTACCTAACGTGAAATCCAAAGACCTTCCAAAGTGAGATGCAGCTAGGGTCTGAAGACTCACCTCGAGTGAAGACAGAGGCGGTCCAGGGCTGGGGCATGACCGAAACCATGGCTGAAAGTCTGACCATGAGACGTATCTATCCACATGATCCTCCCTGGAGGGGTAGGGGGAAAGAAGAGAAGAGGAAACAATTCATCAAAGTTAAATAGACTAAAATGAACTTGGGTTTACCTAGAACCAAGGGCTGCTTGCTGTATTACTCAATAATTTTAACCTGTGGAGCAGTTTAATGGTTTATAAAGTCAATTTAATTATGGTCAGTCTCGGTCAGTTATCTGCTCGGTGACGTCTCCCAGAGTGTGGAATTTTAAAAATGATAAATAATGTTGAATCCAAAGGTAAGTAACATCAATCAGTGAATCAAAGTAAACATGACTGGAAATAAAGTTGAGAGTTATTCAGATTCTCAGTGTATGAACACTCAGTATGAACACCTATTGCAGTGCTGAGAATGGGCGGGAACCAGCACTGTTTCTTGTGCTCGTAAGCGACATGACAGAAGAAGAGTCAGAACTGTTTCAGTATGCAGATTACGTGAAACTAATGAGGGGAATGCAAATAGGAGCAGACCAGCAAGACTACAAATGGATTTAGACACGGTGCGGGACTAATGATATGTGGTTATTATAATTTTATACGAGCAAATTCAAGGTTATCAAAATCGGGGAAGGGCAAAGACAATCGAAAGCGGAACACAGTATCGTGGGACAATCTCTGCGATCTTCCGTGAGAGAAGGACCCAAGGTGAGCACAACTCCAAGCATTTCGCCTGAGGTGCACATCAAGCGAATAACAGCAACTAGGCTGGCACATTTTCAGGCAGCTAGCTTTCAAGCACCTCAACAAGGAGTTATTCACGACACTACATTTATCAGGCTTATTTTGGAGTATGAAGCACCGGCATGGAACCCGCATCTGACATTGCATGTAAAGAATCTAGAAAAAAAGGGGATATAGGTTTGCAACGAGACTAGTCCCAGAGCTGAGTGGTATGGGCTATGAAGAGAGTCTTGAGGAGCTAAACCTGGCCACATAGAGAACAGAAGGAGCAGAGGTGACATGATTACGACGTACAAAATACCAGGAGGAACTGACAGGGTGGACAGGAAGAGTGTGAGAGGCGGATCTCAGTTACATGAGAGCACAACTGGAGGTTAAAAACACAGGTGAGTCATAAAGATGCCAGAAATTATTTTTTAGCCTTAGAATGAGCAGAAAGTGGAAAGACCCAGAGAGTGAAGTGGGAGAGGCGGAATCCATACATAGTTTTAAGAATAGGTATGATAGGACTCACCCCCAGCAGAACCTTGCAACAACAAAGAATATAAATGAGAGCTGGAGAGACTGTTACTTAGGAATTACCATCTCTGAGGACGGTCTGTTCCACATACAGGGAGACAGTGTTGCAAGATATGTTCATCGTCATAAAGCGAGATAACAACAATTAGAGAAGCCATCATATCTCTAAACTACATTTATATACACGTATATATATATATATATATATATATATATATATATATATATATATATATATATATATATATATATATATATATATATATATGTCGTGCCGAATAGGCAGAACTTGCCATCTTGGCTTAAATAGCAACGCTCATCTTGCCATATAGGACAAGTGAAAATTTGTGTATGCAATAATTTCGCCAAAATCATTCTGAACCTAATGAAAATTTTTTATTTGATTGTGTTTGTTTAGTACTAAATTACTGTAAACGTATTTAAAATATATTTAGTTGGGTTAGGCTAAAATAAATTGCTCTTGTTATAACAAGGTTTGGTAAGTTTTCTAAGATTTTTTTGGTGCAAAATTAAAAATTTTTACAATAACATTAATGAAAAAAATATATCTTTAAACGTATAAGAGAAAATTTCAGAAAAGATAGTTAGTTCTTGCTGTAATTTTGTACAGAATATTACATTAATCTCGTTATGCTAATAAGTGAACACCACGATTCAGAAACATTCCAGGTAGTTCATTATTATTGTTCCAGTTTGAATAAACCAACACAGGGAAATTTAAAAAAAAAATAATTAATAAGGATCTTTGTTGTAAAGAAACTTACTGGTGACACAACACATACACACTGAGAGGTGTATTTCTCTCTGCTTGTTTACATTGAGAGTTTATTATAATCCTTATTTTAAATATCAAAATTTTCTTGTTTGGTGGTTGGAAAGTTACCAGGGAGCCTTAATTAATGACCCTGGGGGAGTCGACAGGCTTTAAACCCCATTAATCAATCCTGGTTAAATTCCATTATATACACTGAGATGTTCCTTCAGTCTCATTCTTAAGGGTTTAGACTTGAGGTGTATTCTTGACTGGTTGTGAACATGTTACGTGCAGCCTTGATGACCTTCGTGCAGTTGATAAAGTTTAAACCCAATTAACCTTCCTACTGCTTACAAACAGATAAAATTGATTTATTTAATAAAACTGCCTTTTTGTTTTGTAAGCAGTTTACGGCAGTCAGTTGAAATACACTGCCATAAATCCTTGGGTGAAATTGCACGTGAGAAAAATTTGCAGCTATCAAGGTTGGTTGTGGTACAATGTATGAGAGAGAGAGAGAGAGAGAGAGAGAGAGAGAGAGAGAGAGAGAGAGAGAGAGAGAGAGAGAGAGAGAGAGAGAGAGAGAGAGAGAGAGAGAGACAGACAGAGACAGAGACAGAGACAGAGACAGAGAGAGAGAGAGAGAGAGAGAGAGAGAGAGAGAGAGAGAGAGAGAGAGAGAGAGAGAGAGAGAGAGAACAGTGATACAAGAAAACACATAACAGTAATACATGAAGACAATTCACAATTATACACGAAGAGACATACATAAGAATGATACATGAAGAGACAATAGTGATACATGATGACACACAACAGTGATACACGGAGGCACACAGCAGAGATACATGAAGAGATACACAACAGTGATACATGGAGACAGAGCAGTTATATATGGAGACACACAACAGTGATACATGAAGGGACACATAACAGTGAAACATGCAGACACATAACAGCGATACATAAAGAGACAATGATATATGGAGACACATAACAACGATACATGAAGAGACATAACAGTGATATATGGTGAGACATAATACAGTGTAGAGCTTTGTTATAGCAATGTATCGCTCAGGATACAGGAAACATGTCACCTTCACCTTGCATAGTCCGTTCTCTTATGTAACTAATGAGGTGAAGGTCAGGTGACGTGTTCTGCTACTTGGGGAGCCTCACCTGCTGGCAGGTGACAAGCCAAAATCTGGGTGAGTGGTTTTGCAAGCGTGAATGCACCCTGGTATCGCAGGCCTCGATGAAGGCTGCTCCTGTACACTTCCCGTGTTCCAGCTCATGAGAGCCTTGTAAAAGGTGCAGAAAACAGTTAAATTATTATTAGTTTCCTGGTATGAACCTGTCGGCCATCACTCCATTAAATTACCGAGGCTTCCAATGGGTGAAAATTTCCAAAATAGGCCTGGGTGTCCACCAGACTGAGGCAAACGGACAAATTCAAGAAACTTTGAGTTCGAACTTCAGTACTTGCATCAATATTTTTTTTCACAATATAGCGAGATTTTTTGTTTCAGTGATCTTGTTCACAGTTGTATGATAGACATCATCCATGACGAGTCGAGGCTGAAGATGTGTCGCGTTACATGATCTAGTTTGTCCAGGTGTGAAAGACAGGCTGAGGGACAGGTTAACTTAGATAGTTATGTATAATTAAGATACGAGGGAAGTTATCTTGTAGAATTGTGTAGTCACTAGGTACAAGCTAGACACTTTAACTGTGCATATTGCATATGCGATGCTTGTAAGGTCCAGCACCAAGTTCCTGATAATCATTACAAAGCCAGAGATTAGTCTCGGGATAGTTTTCATTACTGTTAATAACAAAAAAAGGCACAATACCGTGACTGGAACGATACACAAATAACCCGCACATAGAAGAGAGGAGCTTACGACGACGTTTCGGTCCGACTTGGACCATTTACAAAGTCACACTAACCAGAAGTGGAACAGGACGGCTATATATAGGCGGGAAGAGGTAGTGGTGGTAGTAGTAGTAGTAGTACTAGTGGTAGTAGTAGTAGTAGTAGTACTAGTGGTAGTAGTAGTAGTAGTAGCACTACTACCACCACTACCTCTTCCCGCCTATATATAGCCGTCCTGCTCCACTTCTGGTTAGTGTGACTTTGTAAATGGTCCAAGTCGGACCGAAACGTCGTCGTAAGCTCCTCTCTTCTATGTGCGGGTTATTTGTTGTTTCATTACTGTTGTATCTTTCCATTCATACACTAGTCTCAGTAGTCACATCGTAATGCCTACCTGTAATGTCTAGCATGATACGTAGCCTATCTATGTCTACCTCAGATACACATGGCAATACGACCATGAATGATGAAGCACCAGGCAGCTGATGTCTCATGATTCTTACATATACGAGCAAAGGTGAGAGTGCAGTCACATACACGAGACTCAGTAGTGTGGGTGTGTGTCAATCCTCTGCTCTGCCTCTACCTATCTTTCCCTCATGTTTCATCCCATGTTTACTCTTCCTTTTACGCATGTCTGGCCAAAGTCAACACAGGGGATAGGGGAAAGCTATTTTAGTCAGAATCCCTTGTTTCCTGGGTAATTATTTAGGTACATAATCGCTGAAAGCGTAGGAAAGAAAATATTTGTTTTATGCAAATGTCACATTCAATAATTTAAGAGCAAATTATTAATAATACACCAACAGCGAACAGTACTCATTACCGCAACTTTTAATATTTGTTATCACATTGTAACTTTTCAAATTGTCCGACTCATAATTTATAATTGTAAAGTGTTTAAATTACGAGGACAATTTTGAAATTAAGAAGCGTATTATCTGATGATGGAGGTGACTTGTTCTCACGGAACAAGATCATTAAGAACAGGAGAACGAAATAACACTGTGGTAGGACTACTGGCCCATGCTAGGAAGGTTTACCTCACGCTCACTCATGTATCCGTCCAACCTACATTTAAAGTTACCTAAGGATCTGGCCTCAGTAACATCAACTGAGACGTTGTTCCAATCATTTACA